GTAGTGACCTATGGGACTGTGGTACTTGTGAATCTGGCTGGAAATAAGCTTATATGTGTTGCTAGGTTCAACAAAGAGGTCAAGTCCCTTGAACTTTCTGTTGTTTCCACATGGCTGACATTTCTTGCTGCAGGACCCCGCCAGCATTGACCCTGCCCAAGTGCAACTTTGGAAAGACTTTCGAAGGGCTATCAAGATCATGCATCAACACTCTGAAGCACGGGGTGTAATCAAGGAAAATCATGCAGTCAAGATGCTACCGCCCCACGAGCGGCAAGGTACTATGAAAGCATTTGGTCACAGATCATCTAAGCGTGCTGGACAATATCAAAGAGGAACAGTTATTGGTTTGTTTATCTTCACCTTTCCACAGGAGGACATTTCAGAAAGTTAATTTGTTCAATGTCTTAACACCAGCAACCTATGCCCAAAATTCATCTACCAGCAAGGACCCAGCCAAACTAGACGAGGACAAAGCCCGCCAAGATGAACTTCCTTGGGTAGTGGACTTTCATGCTGAAAGGACATGTTCATTATCTCTATTTGTGTATGATTCCAACAAGAAGCTGGCCGAAGACACTGATGCCCCGTCGTGGGGATCAAAAGAGCCGGTGCCTGGTAGCAAAGAGTGGGAGAAATCACCCAATGCCCAAGTCTTTGGGGACAAGGCTTTTGTGGGATCCAATGTGATTGCTACCACTGGAGGATTCCGCAACGGAGTTCATTGTGACTTTGATGCCACCGGATTTGCTTCGGGTTTCTTCTGCTTAATTGATGCGAACACATGTTGAGTATTTAATATTCACAGTCTTATGACCAATCTGCTGACATATGTAATCTATTACAGCTGAAATTATTACTCCGGCAAGAAGACTCGAACTTTTGGCCGAGAGGAAGGAAGAAATTGAACTAGAGAAGAAGACTGGACACCGCATTGATAAGAAGCATCCCCAAGTTGGTGCCAAGTTTGTAATTCACATCAGTAACTATTTCAAGTTTATTGTAGACATCAATGCAGCTGATGTGGTAGAATTACTGTGGGCAACAGATGTTTGCCACAACACCGAACATTTTTTATTTTCTGAAGGAGAAAAAAAAAAGACAACATACTTGCAGGGTGCTGTAACAAGGGAAAAAACCAAGGCAAGAAAAGGGATTGGAAAGAGTAAAGGGGCAGTAGACCATGTACTTGCTTATGCTTGTAGCACTCAGATCAGTACCACTGTGGTGGCAGCAATGAAGGAGATTATGGAACAGCGGGCTGGTTTGGATGATGAGAGCTGGGAAAAATTGCACAGCGGCCTTGCAGAGACCTACGATAAGCAGATGCAACGGAAACGGGCCAATTTGGACCATCTTCAGAATAAGATTACTTCTTATAAGGAAACAAAAGGTTCAGCACTCAGATTTTTAAAATGATATATACATGGTTTTTTTTTGTTTTTAAGATGATAATTTTGTGAGCAAAGGGATTTTGTAAATTTTTGATTTTTTTAAGAGCAACAAATTTTGGAATACAGATTGAAAGGAAAGAATTTACTCCTGAATTTCGGCCTTGTGCTAATCTCTTGCTGGAATATGAGTCTGTTCCCCAGACTTACCTCCATACAACAGCTCCATCTCCTCCCGTAGACTTAATTTTGCTACCTTTGGCGGTAGCAACCCCAGGTGCTTGCATATCTTGTTGCATTCGTGCTGGGTAGAGAAGTTCTCCAAGCCTTTCCTTCCAGTATTTCCGTCGCACCAAGCCATACTGGGGCCAAAACAAACCGTCAGGCAAAATGTTGGAATGCAAGCACAAAAGTACTTACTTGCTCGTATCCACAATCAAAGGGTCTGTCAAAACCAAACCTACCCCCTGAAGATCCGCAACCATTCTTCTTCCGCCATAGTGTTTATGAGACCAATGACTGAGAGCTTGCATTACTTCATTGACTAAAGGACTGTCTGAAGGCCGGAGTTCAAAGTTGTGATTGCTGGTATACTTGCGGTATTGTGTAACATCAAGTACTTCTTCAAAGAAATAAGCACATTCTGTCGTAGCACTGCTTCCTGCATAGACCGGAAAGTTTTGAACCATCTGGAAAATAAAAACATGTTATCGAGAAAGCTTGAATAAAATGAGATCCATATATTTGACTCACACGAATGTTTTGGATAGCTTCAACCGTTGCAGGGAAAAGTTGAATTTCATTCAGACCCAAAGCGGCTTTCTTAAACTTTTCAATCACCATGGAAACAGCAGCATACACTCCACCGGATTCTTTATGGACAGCCAGATGAGTCATATTGGGAGGCAGCTCCCTCCGCTTCTTGGCAACCATCGGAGTCACCTCACCACCAGGTGTTCTTCCAAAGGCATTGTAACATGTCCTGAAAGAACCTTTTCCAATCACCACACTTTCATCAACTTTGAAATGATACGGTGTTACCACCCATTCAGGTTTACCTTCTGCATTTCCTGTCAAAATGCATTTTTTCCCAACGGTGAAACCGTCTGTAGTCTCAGCAGGTGGAACAGGGCAAGCCATGGGAAGCTTTCGACCAAATACGGAGATATCAATAGCCTCTCTGAAATCAAAGGCCGGTACTAAGGAGGGCATGTCAGCCAGACCAAAAATGAGTAGTGAACAAGAGCGGTGAGCTTACCTGTCTGGTGAGGTGGTATCACATGAGTCATAGCTACAGGAGCCACATCACTCTGAGCACGGTGGGGAGATTTTCGTGGGGTGATGGGTGGCGGGAGTGTGTATGTACTATTCTTGGTTTTAAAATTAGAAGCCTTCTTTCGAGTGACTCGTGGTGAGGTGACTTTTGTTGAAGTTGAAGGTGTACACCTGGCTTTCTTGCTTGGCTGGAATATTTCGACACTCAAAGGCAGATCACCATCACTATCACTATCACTATCACCATAATCCGCTTCTTCATCTCCATCATCTAATAACATCTCCTCATAAGTCAAATGTTGAGATGCCTTTCTTTTAGCTTGTCGTTGAGGTTGTACCGGCTTACTGGTGGAAGGTCAAAGCCAAGGATTATTTTTGACATATTTGTCAGCCAGAAAAATTAGCTCGAGGCTAGGTTCTCCTTTAGTGTCATCAAGATATCTGGCAAAAACTTCATTGTTATGTAAGACCACAGGTGATTTCCGGCCACGGCCGGTTTTGGCCAGGTTGAAATACTCAGAGTTGTAAACTTTGGGTGCCTGAGGGTAAAGAGGAGAGTCAACCGAGTGGTCCCACAGGTTGAAGATGCCTTCCTTGGTGTCGTCCAAGAGTGTCAACGATGACCTATCCACAGTGAAAGTTCCCCGAAGTAGACCATGAGCGAAAGAGCCGGTGTCGTATATCACCATCCATCCTACAGAGCATACTCGGCCAGTGTGAGTAGTGAAAGGTGGAGGTTTAGGTGCTGCTGGATGACCATTAAACATGCGGTTGCTGCTAGCTTGTTTCTTGGCAGCAGCTCGCTTTGACTTGTCGCTTTGAAGTTGGTGAACATGAGTACCAGTGGAAGTCGAGGTACGGGCTGCAACAGCTGCTTTGGCATTGATGACCTTGAGATTGGCAGGGCGGGGTTGAGAAGCTTGGGTGGGTGCCTGCTGGGGGGGAGAAGGAACCTTTTTGTTTTGGTCCGCATTGATGTTTTCAAGGCAGGGTCCACATATTTTGTGTTCGCCTTGACGGAGAGTACTTTGACATAAGGGACAAGTAGGTCGGTTCATGATAGTGAAATATGAGTATCTGAGAGAAACCAAAGTCGAAGAAGAAGCTGATTGAAGAAGATTGAGGTCGATCAAAGAAGTGTGGTCGTCAAGAAGATTGAAGTCGATCGAAGAAGATTGAAGAAGATTGAAACTGATTCAAGAAGATTGAAACCGAATCAAGAAGATGAAGAAGATTGAAACCGATTCAAGAAGATTGAAGAAGATTGAAACCGATTCAAGAAGATTGAAGAAGATTGAAGAAGATTGAAACCGATTCAAGAATATTGAAGAAGATCGAAGAAGATCAAAGAGAATTGAAGAATACTAGGGAACAATGAAGCCGATACAAGAATATTGAAGAAGGGTGAAGCCGATCCAAGAATATCAAAGAAGATTGAAGACAATCAAAGAAGGATGAAGAAGAGTGGAGACGATCAAAGAGGTTCAGTGTAGTGTAGAAGAGTGAAGACGATCAAATAAGGATGAAGAAGAGTGGAGACGATCAAAGAGGTTCAGTGTAGTGTAGAAGAGTGAAGACGATCAAATAAGGATGAAGAAGAGTGGAGACAATCAAAGAGGTTCAGTGTAGTGTAGGTTTGGTTGAACAAGTGGATGGGTGGAGACTATAACAAAAGTTGGAGGAATGACTAAGATGATCGGTGATGGTGTGTGGGTTGTGTGATTGGTTGAGAGGTAGAGGTAGAGAGGTACACTTTTCATCATCTAATGTGAAGTTTTCATTTTTGGGGTCTTTGTTTATGGTTTGTTAATTGTCGTTTTTTGATTATCAACATTTGTTTTTTGATTTTTGACTTTTGATTTTTTGATTTTTTGATTTTTGAATTTTGATGTCCTCTTTTGTGGTTTCCTGGTACTTTTTGTGTCAATGCGACAATGGGGTGACAAATGTTGAGTTTCAAGTTGTAAATCTACTGAAATTTGGGCCGTAACCTGGTCTGAAAGGGGTTTCTGCCATGACTTTTACTCCGGTACAGGGGTTTTTGCCCTGTATTTGAGTATTTTCTGTAGTTTTGTCTTTGATTTTTGAATTTCGCACCCGGGAATTGTGATTTTCGTTTTTTGATTTTTGCATTGTCACCTTGACACCTCTCACATTCCGTAATTTTGACTACCTTGAAATTTTTCGATCTTCTTTGGTGGTTTACCTGTTGAAGGATCCCACCCATATCGTTCACCTCCTTCAACGTAAGGATTCTTCTTAAACAACGCTTCATCTATCGAATTACATAATTGGAAATCGAACAGATAATTAGTAATTATTCTAACATCGTTTTCACAGATGAAAAACTTTACCTCTAGATCGAGTTAATAAGAAACACTCTTCTGCTAATGCTTGATTGTATCCTGAGATGTCTGGTGGTGCAACATGACCATCCACCTCAACTCTATTGATTAAGGATTCTTCTCTAACTCTTATATCGTATTTTAAAGCCGTTAACCATCCCATCAACGCCATCACCTTTTCTACATTTGCTTTGTGGGCTAAAGACCATTCTACAAACTTCTTGAAACGTGCGTTGGTTAGTGCATTTATGTAACCATTATAATGTATACACCACTCTCCATAATCTAACAACCATTTGTCTGCATATGGTAAACCTGTGTAAGTTTCAGTCTTTAATTCTCCTTCAACAGATTTGATTTTCTTCTTCGCATGGTAACCCATTGCTTTAGTTTGCCAATCATTATCGAAGATAGTTAATGGAATTGGATACCTTAACTCTTTTATGTTCCTGTCGAAATATGGCGTATAACTTCTGTTTTTATAAGTGGAAGTTCTACCTGGAAAGAACCACATTCCATTTTCAAAAACACCTCCATCATCTCTCTTCTTTTCATCATGAGTTTCTTCTAAAATCGGATTAGCTGATGTTGCTTGTTTATTTGAAGGTCTCTCTTGATGTTTATCTAAATGACCTAAAGCTTCATAGATCTTGAGATATTTAGACGCTCCATAACCATCGCCTTCTACTGTTAAAGACATAGCTTTCTTGAAAACCTCGTTTTTATCCGTTAAATCTATTTCACTTCCAGTTTTTCCATCTTTTTCAATCACTACTTGATCTTCTAAAAAACATAATTAATTTCAATTGATTAGTTATAACTGTTTTCAAGGAAATTTGTAAGGATAAACCTTCCGTATTGCTTACTTTCAAAAGACTTTGGTTGACTTCTCAATAAATCTAAATACGTCGCATTTACAATTTGACTATCACTATCACATCTTTCGATCGATTTGACTTGATTCTTAGCTTTCTTTGGTGTACCTAGAAAAACCGTGTAACCATTTGATTAGTTTATCTCACTTTCTATTTGATGACAAGTAAATTATAATCACTTTTCATTACCGGAATTTGCTTGAAGGCGCTATTCACATCTAACAAGTTTACATTTGTTTCATCATTCGACTTTTGAGAACTTAAATCATCAATTAAATCTTCTATAACTATCGGATTAGCCTTCACTGGATTCTTTATAGTTTTGTTATCCCGTTTTTCGCTTTCTACAATTTGAAAAAGGAATTTCAAGAATTAATATCAGTTTTCTATTAACTTCCAATTAACTACAAGGAATGTTATTTAGAAATGATTTTACCTCTTAACAGATTAGAATCGAGTACATTGTTATTATTAATGTCTCCTTGATTCGTAACTGATTGGACTTCTTTAGAATTTCCATGAAGAGTGCTTGAACCGAGATTCTTGGAGATTTCCGAATCTACTTGGCTCTTATTACCGGTATCATCTGTTATACCTTGGCTATTTTGATTTGAACCAGAGTTTCTTGATTGATCTCCTTGGTTTGAAACTAACATATTTTTAACTGAATTATTATCATTATCCTTCTCTCCAATTGCTGCTTTCTTCCTACTAGTACGATCTGTCATTTTAAATTTATTAAAGTTATTTAATCTTGGTTGAATTTAATTTTAATGATACGAAAAAGGTGAGACTAGCGAACTGAAGGAAGAGGGGAGTCGGGTAAAGCACCTGATAATCAGGAAACGAGAGATGGACTTGACAGGAGGGGAAGAAGCGAAAGATAGGCTTACTTCCCTCTGTTATATGTCCATGACTCCAGGGCCTGACTGATCAGTCTTGATGCCAAGCGTAACCTGCTAGGCATCATGCGATCTTGCTTGGTCGGATTCCGTAATCAAAATGCCCTGATCACGAAAGCGACCGTCAGGCCCAGCCCGACTCTCTCTCTCTGACTGGTGCTGACATGGACGTGTCGCAACCTCCTTCGTGCCTCATACGGGTACTAGCAATTACAGATATAACCAGTTGTAAACCTGCCTGGAGTTTTTACCAGTGACCACTGTTATTCTAAATTTTACCAAGGCACAATTTTTGGGCCTGTATGTTTTGAATTCACATCCAAGGCTTGATTTTTGTGGTTTTGAGTGATTAGTATAATGACTCGTGTAATGGTGATGTTTTTACTATAGTCTTTGAGTGACCAAGTTGATACACATATCAGGCAGAGTTAGCTGAAGTGTCTCACAAAAGAGAACAAAAGAGAAACACAACCAATGATGGCTCTAGACTGTACCCAAAACCAAGAATGAACAAAAATACAAACATCATTATCAATTAAATGCATTTGAAGGTAACAATCATTGTCTGGTGTACAGCTCTATCAAAAGTGCAGACAATTGCTAATGATATGGAGATCATAATGATTATTTAAAAGGGTCAGAACATGCCTAATTTAAATGAATCAATAATGATACATTGATCAATGAAGACCAGTTGCATGGAAGAACAGATGAAAGCTGGCTTGAAATGCAGTATAACGACATGAATCAATGATTTAGTTAAAAATGGGAATAAGCTGCCATCACTTAAGTTGCCAAATTTGAAATCAATCGTGAAAATCAAATGAACAAAAGGACTTCAATAGGACGCATGGGAGCAAAACATGTCAAGCTGGGAAAAAGAAAGAGGAAGAAACTAATAGTACATAAACTATGGAACAGACAACAAGGCTCCTGCAAGGACCTTGTGACAATTTGTTTATAATATTTTGTACATATTGTATACTTGTATTCAAATGGTTACCTTTTCTGGCGTGCAGTTAAACAACCACACAGCCAACAAAGATGCCTCGGATTGAAAAATCCGAGGTATCATCGGACTCAAATCCTCGGACAGAATCTTTCCGAGGTTTTGATCCGAGGTATTATTTTGCGTCAAAAAATACCTCGGATCAAATCCTCGGACGAGACCTGTCCGAGGGTTTCCATCCGATGATGCCTCGGATTTTTCAATCCGAGGCATCTATGTTGGCGGTGCCAACACTTGCTGCAAAGACTGCAGTAGATACCAGACATGCACAACCAATTTAAACAGTTGGTAATTGTAACTTGGGGTCAGACTCAGTGGGAATCCAAGCCCACAGAGAAGAGGGAGTTTCCCTCATCCCCAAGGCCACAGAGATGAGAGAAGCTTCCCTCATCACCATGGCGCTGGATCCAATTGTGCACCACACATCAGCAGATCAGAAACATGAACATAATGAATTGACTGGCACAAAGTTAAACCACACAAAAAAATACATACATGATACACTACTGCATGTGAGAGGACAGCAACTATTTGGCTGACCCTTCACTGAAAGATGAAGTGCAGACAAAAATAAATTCTTCTCTTGGAACACTCAAGTGACAACTGCAACAGTTAGTTGACCTCTAATAAGACACTTTGGTGCCAGTGGGATGGCTGAGCTGTCCTTCTTGGATCTAGCTTGGAGATCTGGTTGATACAGCTCTGGAGCCTGCAGTACTTTACACTCTGAGAAATTAGAGGTGCCACAGGGGTACTTTATACTCTGTAGTAGAGGGACCAAGTTGTAAATTCCAAGCTTGTTCTTGTAGCTACTTCTCCCACTAGCTAAGAACACTAGTGGGTTCTGCAAGCACCTGAGCAATAAAGGAAGTAAGACAATCAAACTACAACAGTATCACTTTACTCTATTCTTGGTGAAAAATCAAGTAGGCTGTGAAGCTGAGTTGTGTAATGATATCAAATGGGTTCCTCTTCCAAAGTGGGAAGAGGAGGGGTTTATATACTCTAAGACCTAGGTGTCAACTTGTGGTTGGCAATTAGGTTTGCTTCTCTTTGGGTTAGGTTTCACCTTTACTATTTAAGTTATTGTTAAGTGACCATTGATGCTGAGCCATGAGGTGTAAATTGAATCTTCATAGTTTTAAACAAGTTACACATATTTACATATGTATTACATATATTTACATGTGTGTTTTTTAGTCCTTGGTCCTGTACATAGGGCTCAGGGCTGGCATTGTACATGTATAAACAAGTGTGAGGGTAGGAAAATTAAGTAAAGAGAAAGGAGTGTGAGCATAGATGGGCCATTGTGTTGCAAAAAGTGTGCAACACACGGCAGCACAACATGTTGCTTAGGCAGAAATGCAACACAACACAGCTGTTTGGTCCGCTGTCAGTTGTGTTGCTCTATAGAGCCAAATGTTTTTTCATGTTGTGTTGCATTGCAGAGCAACACAACAACTAAAGAAACCCTGGCAACAGGTTATTAGGTGGGCCCTGGGTAAAGCAGTGGTATGTTCCAAGGCCTTTGGGGGTAGAATATGTAGAAAAAAACCCAATATGTAACATCCTTTGTCATTACAGCTGTTTCAACAAAGATTGATCTTTTTTGAAAATCTCGTCACAGTGGAAAACCTGGGTTTTGTCTCTCTGCTAATCTGGAGAATACAGAAAAAATAAACCCTATAAACAAGACTTTTGTCTGGTTTTGTTCACTGCGGCAAAAACTTTCTTGAAAAAAAGTGGTCAACCTTTCTTGAAATGGCTGTACATGAATATTTTTTTGTGACTTCATAGGTAGGTAATAAAAATACATGGCTTGATTTGTTTCTTAAACCATTGTGGGAGATTGTACAGCCCTGGGTCACACTGCTCCTGTCTACATAGATAGAAATGTATTTTGTTGTGTTGCAAGCAATGCAACACAGCCACCCATTGCTGGTGTAAGAAACTCAGGGGGAAATCTCAGATTTTGTGCCTGGAGGGCTTGGATGTATGACCTACCCATTATCAGTTATCACAGGACCAGATTTTGATTTTCCCATTCTTAATGACTTAACCAAATGAACACACAAATTCAGTGATGAAATGAAATGAGAAATTATTAAGAAGTAACACTGAATTCTACAAGATTTAGGCAACTGATTTTTCCAAATATTTACAATTGTGTTAGCCCAAGCAAAAGGTATGACTCCAATTAGAACACCACCTTTACATTTAGATCATACTATAGATAGTGGGTTGTGTCAAGACTGTGTGGTAACCATAAGTTTTGGCCCAAAATCTATGGTTGGCAACAAATCTAGGTTTGTTCAAAATTGAATTCTATTCCAAAAGACTTCTTTACACTCTTATTCTGAAAATGATTTCTCAGCCCAATTGAAGACAGTTTTTTTATAATTTCACTAAGTACATAAATCTTGATTCTTCACTGGCTTTTACAGACTCGCGGTGTCAGAGGTGTGGAGCTACTGATTTGGGGTTACTTACCACTGTCTTGACACGAGCAACCATGCACCCAAATGTTTTCTAGCATATGCTACAAAAAAATGTTGCAGCAGCTTCAGCCAATACTTTTTCTCTTAAATCACATGCATCATCTCCTTTTCTCACATTTAAATTTGAATCCACTTCGTTTGTTCCATCTAGGGTGATATCTAGAGATGGAGATTGATCTGTTTGGCAAAGTGCCTGTGGTGCGCTACAAGATAAACTACAGAATATGCGAAAGTCAGTTTTCTGCTTGGCCAAATGGTTGTGACTGAGAGAGAAAGAATTGAAGTTGGTCGTGATCCGCATTGCCCCTTCACTCGACGTCACCAGAAAATCGCATCCTCGAACCGCGCGAGTGCGAATTGTATCGCCTGCTTTCGAACAGTTAAGCTGGAGATTCTTTTTTAGATTCCGTGGGCGGTTTTAAGCACAAGAAGTCCACAAAGATAATGCGCCGTGACCCGCCCGCCTCCGCCCGCGCAAAGCTCGACCAAATGATCGCATGGAGCCTGAGCTTCCCGGATCCAAAGGACTGGCCTCGGGAGCAAAGGTCTGTTTCCCATTTCATGAGCTCTCTTGACGTTCCAAGAAGACATTTCATAAATCCGTAAAAAATCATTACATACCCGGCTTTCTCAGGAGAATAAGAGTAGGCGCTCGCTGATTTGGAAAGCGTTGGTGAAGTGTTTTAAGTCCAGAGTGCAGGGCTTTCGCTAGCTTAACATAAGGCCCCTAACCCCCGCAGAGACGTCAAGCCTGCGGAGGGGGGCTTACGACTTATCGGCAAATTTGGCCTGATACCAAATTCGGTTTGGCTGGGACTATCTCCAGCCGTCTTTTACACCACCTTCCCTTCAACAAACCCCTCAGACAGCTCTAGTAAGATGTCTGGATATTATTTTTCTCCATCTTTTGGTGTACTCAGATTCTGCATATTCTTCATAACGGCTCAAGGAGGTCAATGTCTAAAAAATAAAAAAATAAAATATAACATATCATTCTGCTGCGACTACAGACACATTTACATATGCAAATGTATTTAGTTTTTTCGAGAGTTAAGTCCATCTCTCTCATTACCAAATTGATCTACGTGGGTGTAACGTCATAAAGTACCACATCCAAGGGTATCGCTCAATTCCAAATATATCTATATCTGTAAGTCCTCACTTTCACTTGTTTCGATCCGTCTCTATTTTCAAAGCTGATTGCTTTTGTTTGCGAAGTCAGTCTCGGGCCTCATCAGCTACATTGGGGCTTAAATATGGACAGCGATACTGAGCCAGAGTTCGATCCGAGCCTTCTTGAGCTTGATGCTTCACTCTTGCAAGCTTCAACACCTCAAAAGCGCGTGCCACTTGTTGAACGAGTTTGTGAATATTTGGCGCAGCAAAACTCCGACACAAAATCGTTCCTTCTCGCTTACCTACACTCAACAAATGAAAAAATCATCAGACGCAAGAAACAGTGGGCCTTGGTCGCAAAAGGATGGAAATCTACCGAAGCAGTATTGGATGCCATCGCCGAGCTGGTGAATCAGAAGCCAGAATGTCGGCCTAAATGGAATGATTGGGTTCTTAAAAAGGTATTTTTCATGACTTTTGTCCACATTAGGCCTGTTATCAAACAGATAACTGATCCGTACTTGATTCACAGGCCAAGCTTATTGTAGCACAGCAGTCTCCACCCCAAGGTAGCCAATACATCAATATAAATATGTTAGATACTAGTTTTTTTGATCACAAACAGGACGTGAAAAGGGAAGCAGATATTGTTCAAAGCATGGATTTTCTTCATCAATTGATTACTTCTAAGCTCCAACATGGTCATCAAGCCTGGAAGTCTGAGCGGAAACGACGTACTGAACATGAGGCAGCTGCAGATCTTGATTCTGATGGCTCGGATTCTGAGTTTGATTCTGGTTTGGAGTCGGATTCTCCGGAGCAATCCGAATTTGGCAAGGCAAAGGAATCGTCTTCAGCTTATGTCTACAGAAGATCTAAAGATGCGGTTGAAAATGCAAATACTCGAATGAAAGCGGTAAGTGCCATTCTATGTCTAGACTTATTGGGATACGCACCATACCGAACTGTTCTATTATGTCATATAATGTTAGATTGCTTTAACAACCATTCAGATGATATCTTACGGATGCAACCGTCGAAGCAATGGACTTCAGGTTCAAAACACAATCACTTTGCTTGCATGTGGTGTATCTGAGCGAGTCAACCACTATCTGTACCAAATCGGCCTCAGTTCATGTCGAAAATCAGCGCTACGTGGTCTACTAGCATTAGCAAAGCAAAAGTCACTCACGATTAAAGCAAAGATAAAAGCAGCGGCGACTTTTGGATTCATTATATGTATTGATAATATCGATATGATGGAACGAGTTCACAGTCGACGAATTGATACGACCAGTAAAACATATCACGGCACTTGGGGCTATATTCACTTTCTCAATCCCAATCTTATATCTGGTCTCGATATCCTTCATTGTACTGTTCCTGCTTTCCAACAATACCTGAAAGACGACATCGAGAAGATGGTCAAGCCTGCAGAACTCCTTCCAAAAAAACCCGAGCAAAATCGATGGGTCTTGACATTGAAGAATCAAGCAGCTCGAGTGCTTCTCCGCTACACAAAAAAAAAAGATGACTTCAAATCTCTTCCCGTATTAAATCTACCACCCATTGATCAGATCAAGGCCGAGAAACCTGACATCAACATGCTTAAGCTCATGGACTCTTCTGATAATGGTTCCGATGGAATTGCATCACTGTACGACGAATTGATCAAGCAGACTGGCCTACCACCCGAGGACTTTGCAAACAGATTGCAAATGGTTGAAGGAGACCTCGGTACTTGTCTAAATTTCTCTGGCCTTGAAAGTCAACGTGTGCCTTCGAAGTCTATGGATGAAAGTCTTGGTCACTTGCTTATGGTTCCAGGCGCAGGTCATACCTTGTGGAATATTTCACAAGCTATCTTGTTGCATCATTGGGGTAATCCAGATGATAAGACCGATCTAGGTGCATGGCGAACCGTAGTAGAGCTTGGTGGAAAGAAAGAGAGACCAACTGCGAAAAAAGATTTTACTTCAATGATTTGAACGATTGAACAGGCTCATGAAGCAACTTTAACTGCTTGTATATTGTAAGTCATAACTTTAGATTTGGATATACACAAGTTTACTAATGAATAGTCTGTTTGTTTATATCAAGTTCGGTTTTGGGTCTTCCTGCAGGAACGGTCCAAGAATCCATTGAAATGTCTGTTGATGATTTTGAAAAAACCGTAGAAAATGTCTTTATCAATTTCTTATCCGGCCAAGCTCTCCGTAAGGCTCGTCGGCAAAGGGACGTTGTAGTATTTAAAGCTCAACAAGAGCTTTACAACACCTAAGAAGGGATAATCTACTACGTGTAATATAGTAGAAGTTGCCTAAAGACTGCCTTCTTCAAAGAAACCAGCACAAGGGCACTTGCTGACCACTTTGTGATAACAGAGAAAAGGATAAAAGGCACCAGAGAAATAAAGCAATACTGTTGTTAAGTATTATTCCCAGATTTTAAGCGCAAAAAAGTCACACGCTATGTTTATTACTAGCAATACTGTTGTAAGTATTATTCCCAATTAGACTTGTAGTCTTTAACACACGTAAATAAATTTCTCCTTGCTTTTGAAGGGGCGGATTTAAGTGATCTTAGTACAAATATAGTAAATAAATGATGATTTATAACACTACAACAAAGGTATAAGATGCAGAAAAGGGCGCTACAATCCCAAAATCATCAAGGAGTACTTATATCCACATGTAACAATCTTTACAACAGTCAACAGCCTCAAAAACCAATCAAATCCGCCTAAATAACCCTAAAAACCATGTAATGACGCAATGTAATGATCTTGTTACTAATGTATGATGTAATTTTCACAGCCAAAAGTGATCAATGACGCAATGATGTAATGTACAGCACTTCTTAAGATGAATACAGGTGATTTTTTCCTTGTAAACTAGCTGAAACCCAATTTTTGAGATTACGAATTTTTTCAGATGTGCTCCAATTTTTGATTACTAAAGTGCATCTTGTAGCCCACGTGTTACTGATCATTTCTGACACCTATAAGACCTACTTCTGATGAGTGATGAGTAAGATATTGAGTTGTGAAGTTAAGGTTTTTGGTGTTACATGTGTCTTGTGACTGTAAATTCGAGATTCACACCAATTTCTTATTTCCCTTATAACCTTTTACATACACCTCCGTTACTAATGATTCAAATGTTGTACATTATGTAATCCACTCTTCAGCGTTGAATGAGCCATCTACCACCTTATTCTGACGTCATTTGACATATGTAATTAGCTGAAAACCTCCATTTTCGACGATTTTCACCTATTTTCTTCACTTTTCACAGCTGCTACTCCCTTTTCCTTGCTCATGTAATATGAAATCATCTTCTATAACCTTAAAAATCCCGGAAAATCCTCTTGGCAACCTTAAATTCCATCACTACCACCATTACATATGTAAACTACACGCCTAACCCTTGTTTACCAACTTCGAAAAAGTACCTTTCTGCTAATAACCTCTGTTTCCCCTTATCAACCTTGAATATTAAAATTGTTCCTGTATAATAAACTGTTGTTCTTTCATATTCTAACCTTATAAAACCCATAACTTAATTATAAATAAGCTAAAAACCATTTTCCAACTTTTACACCTATATTTTCGAATTTTTCTTATCTTTTCTTTTTCTGTCTTTTTGTAATAACTTTGTAAGTAAACTATGTTGATCTTAATAATAATTTTGAAATAAGATGACATAATAATGAGCTAATAAGTATACATAAGCCTCTAAGAGCTTCAATTGATCTGAAAACCTGAATTTCGAATTCTCTGCTATATTGAAGTTTGCTAATAAACTGGTAAAGTAAAGATGATTAATTTTTTTGCTTAATATCATAAATAGATCACCACAACGTCAAAAAGGTTCACTTGTTACTCCGCATCCGAGACTTTGCAACAGTCATTGAAGCAAATCAAGCAATGTCTGACGGTGATATAGGTCGGCTACTCCTCATGTGGAAGATGTGGAGTGTCATGGCTCAGGGTCTCAGCGGCCTGACCCACTACTCCAGGTATCTTCCTCGTCTCATTCGACTCCTCACTAAATTTCTCCCAAAGTCCCTTGCACACGTCATTCTACACTCTCTGTTGATCTCTCCAACGGGCCAACCGGGTCATTTTGTGGCAAAAGACTTCTACCTCGAGGTCAAAAATTATTGGCTGAAGTACTTTTACAACCATGCAGTACATATTTTCTTTTTTAAACCATGCTTGTCAATTAAGGAGAATCTGACAAGTCTAAATTTTCCTTGCCTAGGGTCCCGGAACTGACATCAAGCGATTGAAGGAGACATTTTTGCTCACAGTTGGACTCGTAAATCTTTAGTACTTTCTCTGGTTTATGTATTCAGCTGATAATAATTGATTTGCTAGCTTTCGGACTTGGTAAACAAAATGAAAGGACGAGCTGGGCTAAATGACATTAGACAGTCACATAAGAATCAATCAACGCCAGCGTCGATGACGCGCTTCTTGAATATGGCTCAAGTCGAAGGGATATTAGAGTCAATACCTAATTCTGATCATCCAGGTGTCCCAATTCCTGACATCAATCGCCTAGGTATCCAAAAGCTTCAAGAAGACTTTGTTAAGAAGAGGTTTGAACGTTTTCATTGGCCGCTCTCTTCAAACTACAATCAAGAAAATTGTGAGGAAGGAGACGATGAGGGACCTGATCAACGCGATGGATTTGGCGACCTCGATGAGGAGTTTGTCAGGTGGATCAATGAGGAATAGGGACTTACTTCTCTTGGTAAGCTCGTTCTTTTGCATCCAGCTTGTTTGATGGCACATGGTCGAACTTCATCCAATTTATACAACGCTGATTGTATTCTCTGCGATGGGTTGCAGCCTCCTTATCAGCCTTGACCTGCTCTGATGTCCGTCTTTGTTTCTTTTGGAGAGGAAAACTTGCAATGACTTTTGGAATGATGTTAATTGTGTTTTTCTCTTTCAGGGTTTTATCTTCATCTTGTTTCTTTTTTTCTCGAATGATTTCCCTCTTTCTCAAGAATTCTATTCCTGTATCTCGAGTCCGCCATTCGTTGATGTAATCAAACACAACATCCACACCACCCTCAATGATATCGCCTCCCATAGCGTCCTCAATGTCTTCGGAACATTTCACATCTTCAATGATTTCTACAATCTTGGTTGCTCGTTCCAGTCCAAAGTAGTCTTCGCTTTCACAATAACCATCGTCCCCAAACAATTCATTGCAATGTAGCTCAAACATGAATACCAACTCATCCGCAAGCTCCTCTAAAGCTGGGTCTAAAGGCCCACACCGCTTCCTCCAGCCTTTCTTATTGCTAATACCTTGACCATTTCCAACACCAGCCTGCTCACTCTCGTCTTTGTTCGGTTTGAAAAAGCCTTCAACTTCCGAGACGTTAGTCATCGCATCCATATAATTCAACTTGGTCAATTTAGGTAGGTTGTGAACCAACATCGCAGCAGCTTCTGGATTACAGTTCGAGCACTCGCATTTGGGAAATCCTTCAGCTTTTTCTCGAGCCTCTTCAGCAATAACACGGGGATCATCTTTTTGACATGGTATCACACCAATCCTGGTGTGATTAACAAACAAAGTCATGTGAGTATATTAGCTTTGCAAAGCATATCGGTCAAAGAGACAAAACTATTTACATATTTGCCAGTGATAGTGTCACTCGCAGGCATATCGGGGTGAAAGTGAAGGTATTCATCAGTTCGTCTTCAGTCATCTCTTTGGTATTATTTGCATCATCTACGTTCTTCGCGCCTTTCTTTCGAGTCTTCTCAACAAAGTGAAGCGCCAGTCCAGGTTTGTCCCCTCGTCCACATCTACCAAATAGCTGAGCCAGTTCAGGCAGTCCAGTTTGTCCTATCACTATGACCTCCATTACCGTTGGCCAATCTTGACCTAGACCGAGTGCGTTTGTACATGAAATGATCGGGAACTCATCATTTGTATAACCTTCAATTGTTCAAAGCTTCTCTTTCCGGCCGGTACAAGAATGATACCTCCTGATCAGCTTACTATCCGGATCACGCTCCCCACCCGGTGTTCCTCGAGCCTCGTTTACAATTTTCATCACCTCAAATGTGGTGTTCCGCGAATTGGAGTAGATTAACGACTTGAGCAAATCTTGGTCAGATATTACTTCCTTTTTAGCATAGATTGTAAGAAGATCTTTAGGCGTTCGAATGCCTCGTTTCATCGGAATCCGAATGATCCTGATGTTTGAGCGACTCAATTCGCCCCGTACAATCGTGATGTCGCACTTACGGATGCTTAAGTTATTTAGGATTGCTGAAAATGGACCAGGCGCACACGTCGCTGACATCAAAAGCAGAGGAATTTTATTTGTTGCTAGCAGCCGAAGACAAAGATCACCATAAGATGGGCGAAATTGACCGCCGTCTTGTTGACGCATGAAAGCATTGCAATGTTTTGCTCGCCCGCTTTGTACCATGCCCCACCAATAAATCATGTGGGCTTCATCGATTACCTTCAGTACCAGACGGTCTTGAAACCACTCGTTGAAATATACACGCTCAAAAGCTCTGCTGTTCAAAAAGATCTCTGGGCTCTTAGAAAAGCAAAAAGTCACATGTTTGCATCAGATCCTATCCTATGTATTAATATGTCCATTCGGAAAAATCCCTCACCGTGTATATTACGCTGTATACTCCTGCCATGATATCCTTTTCAACTTCCTCTGTAAAAGATTCTTTTGTGAGATTGACAGACTTGATCTTCCATACGTTCTTCTCGGTAACCTACATCATCCAATGAATCTAATCAGTCAAGCACAGGAACATCGATGACGATGGTTAATTCACCTGGTTATCACCCAGAGCGTCTAGGGGATTGATCACAATGTACATCGCTTTCAAATTTTTTGGAAATAAAGCCAAGAACATTTCGCCAATTCGAGTCTTCCCGTAACCAGTCCCCGCCAATACAAATGTATCACGACCTCTGACCAATGACACCACAGATTTGACTTGTAATGATTTAGCTTGACAATTGTATGTCTTCATATGATTGTCTTCGATCAACTTTATCAATTCCGCATCAGTGAGAGCCAGGATATGCTTTGGAAGCACTGCTTTTGCTTTAGATTCTTTAGCAACCGCTGTTGGAGGTGCAGGTCCAATGTATTCGTTGGGTCGTCTGTTATTCAATGGCATCGTCTTTGACCCTAGGTCACTCGCTTTTGAGCTCCGAAGTGACATTTTCCTTAGAGTGTCGCCCATGATAGGCTTGGCGGTGGAACGGGATCGATAAATTGACGATAAATTGAGGAAATACGACACCGAGTTTGTCAAGTTTGTCTCGCTCTCGTTCTTTCTGCTCATCATGATTTGTCTCATGTCCCATTTGAGATAAATCTCTCTCTCGTTTCTCTTTCTCTCTCGTTCCTCTCTGTCCTGCTCTCTCTCTCTCTTTCTCTCTGTTGTCCAAAACCTTTTGGACACAAATTTCTCTGAGAAGGCAACCGCAGTCGTGTGAAGCAAGACCTCAAGAGTTACACTTCTTCAATGAACCCTCAAGACACAATATCATTTTGAAGTCCTTTCGGTTTTGAGGGAGCATGTGTACAGGATGCATTAGAAACATCTGGTCTATTCAGATTCTTGAGATGGTTGATACAGGGATGGGTATTGTCGGATTCAACCAAACATAGCTTGAAACCGCAAATTTCGATTTGGTATCAGGCCAGAGATTCCGATAAGTCGTAAGAGCATCCACAACGGTCCACCTACTTTGCGGGCCCCCAGCGATGTAGGGGGTCAAAACGCAAAAAAACACTCCAACGGAGCTCGCACAATCGGGGGTGAGACGTCGGGGGCCTCCAGATTTCCATCCGGACCCCCCACATCTGCGAGGTCTATAGGGGCTCCCAATATCACGTGCCACTGCTTCCACGTGACCGATATAGTCATGTCTCAAACCGCACTCGAAACAAGATGATATGGTACAAGCATACCATATCACTCAATCGAGTTCTGGCCCCTGACTTCAAGTGCACCGCTGTGGACACCTGTTTTTTTGACCCCCTACATCCACAAAATCAGGATCGGGGGTCTGTTCCAGGGCTCGCAAAGTAGGTGGACCGTTGTGGATGCTCTAAGTCCCTCCTCCGCAAGCTCCGGGGGACGCGCGCGGTTCGAGGTACTTAGTTAAGTTAGGGGCTTTCGGGGTTCAATTTTCTGTTCGGTTCCTTTGAAATGATTTCTTTATGTAGCCAATTCCAATTTTGTACATTCAACCGTCAAACTTTTTCTCTTTTTCTCTTTTTCTCTTTTTCTCATTTGGTGTTTCTTTTTTTGAATACGGTTCCGCATCGATCGATCTGATGAATTGTTCACCCCATCAAGATCAAAACTGATGTTGATTTGTATTGCGACTAAAAAGGCATTTATCAGACTAAATTGATGTGATTGAACATGGAATTTAAAAATCAATTACCTAAAAGTGACCATTGGAATACATAGTGATCTATAGTGATGTTTAATTTTGATTTTAATATTGTTTAATATTTTTTGAATTGGATATCTATACTGTTTTGAATCGAATGGATGTGAATTTAAATTGATTTGATTGATTTGATTGAATTAGAAAATACATTTTGTTTTGGTAGATATGATTGGTAAGCTGGCATATGAATAAAATAAAACTGTGTTTTTGGGTTCTAGTTTGAGTGTTTTGATTTTTGATTTTTAAATAAATTTGAAATTTTGAAAGATTTCTGAATCTGAATCTGATTGGTTGGTTGGTTTGAGTGAAGAGTGAAGTCAAGAGATTCGTTAAATTTCATAAAATTAATCAATTCCCTTTTTTAATTTGATTTTAAACAATTTTCTAGTTTTAATTTCATTTTTCTTCTTTACCTTCAAACCAATCAATCATCAACCTATCACCACTTCAATCTACCTACTCCTACCTACCTACACATAGTATATCTATCCAATAGAATCTTAACTTTAACTTCTTCAAGGTCAGCTCCATTCATCATCGGTCATCATCATCATCACCGATTCAATCTTCTTTCTTCATCCTCATCATCACACTAATCATCGATTCATTCTTTCTATCTTCCCTTTCAAAACCTAAAAACCAGTCATCAAATCAATCAAGCCTACTCATCATGTCATCCGATATCCAAGAAAAGATTGCTGCTGCTCGTCGAGAGGCCGAGACACTCAAAGAGAAGATTCGAGCGAAACGAGACCAACTGGCTGATACTACTTGTAAACTACCACTTTCTATTCATCATTACAAATGACTTCCATTCACTGACACATCATACTTGCTCTCATCAAACGATTCTCTTGACGCTTGTTCTTTCAATACTCAATCATCCAGTACGTGCAATGGCAGCCGAGATGGACCCACTTCCTCGCGTTCTTATGAAACCTCGACGAACGCTCAAGGGTCATTTAGCCAAGATCTATGCCATGCATTGGGCACAAGATAAACGTCACTTGGTTTCAGCATCACAGGATGGAAAACTAATCGTTTGGGATGCTTACACTACCAACAAAGTCCATGCTATCCCTCTTCGTTCATCTTGGGTTATGACATGCGCCTATGCTCCTTCTGGTAACTTTGTAGCTTGTGGTGGACTGGATAACATTTGTTCAATCTACAGTCTTAGATCAAAGGAAGGAACAGTCAAGGTGGCTAGAGAATTGAGTGCTCATACTGGTTACCTATCGTGTTGTCGGTTCTTGAACGATCGTCAAATCCTTACTTCATCTGGTGATATGACTTGTATGCTTTGGGATGTTGATGCTGGTGTTCGAGTTATCGAATTCAATGACCATTCAGGTGATGTGATGAGGTACGTCACGTCGTCGTTCTTTCTGATCATCATCTATCGCTCTCCATCGCCCTCTTTAATCTCTTCAACTTTTTCACTCTACAGTCTATCTCTTGGACCCAATCAAAACGTCTTTGTGTCTGGTGCATGTGACGCAACTGCTAAAGTATGGGACATTCGGACTGGAAAAGTCGTTCAATCCTTTGTTGGTCACGAGTCGGATATCAACGCTGTTTGGTATGTGTTCTCGGCCCAATCCGTACAAAGAAGAGGCACATTCTAACTCATAACCTTTCGTTTCACCTCCACATTCAGCTTCTTTCCTAATGGTGATGCGTTCGCAACTGGATCAGATGACGCCTCGTGTCGATTGTTTGACCTAAGAGCCGATCGAGAACTAAATCAATACACACATGACAACGTGCTTTGTGGAATTACCTCAGTTGCCTTCTCTGCATCTGGTCGTATCCTCTTTGCAGGTTACGACGATTTCAATTGTAACGTCTGGGACACACTCAAAGGCGAGAGGGTTGGTGTCTTGGCTGGACACGAGAATCGAGTCAGTTGCCTGGGTGTCTCATCCGACGGAATGGCATTGTGCACAGGTAGTTGGGATAGCATGCTCAAAGTACGTCGCCTTTTTGATTTGAGAGTTGACATCTTTGTGTAATTGATTTCTTACTTATTGACCAATCTCGATTGTCTATTACAGATCTGGGCGTAAAACTTTTAATCTTACAACGTGGATCTTAACCAGGCCTTTCGCCTGTCATCAACTTTTGGGTCTTCAAATCGGGACCCCTCCTCCTGATTTGGGTTAACCTGTCGTATCATCAACACTTCTTCCCATGCGCTCGTCTTTTGTTTCATCTCTTGATATCCATCAGTGTTCCTTGGTTTCTTCGTGCCTTCTTTTTCCCATTAGCTTCTTTCTCGTTTCTCACTTGTGTGCTCATCTCTGCTTCTTTCCACTTTTTTTCCTCGGTTTTGGCTCGTATGTGGGTATGTGGAATGTCATTTTATTCAATCTTTTGTTCAAGCCATTTCTACTCCTGCTTGTCTTTTTTTCCTTTTTTTTCCTCAAACCTCTAAACAGACCAAAAACTTGAAGAGAACAACACAACGATTCAAAGAAAGCTTTCTATGAATTGACTGTTTTTTTAATCGACAACCCTTGATTGTTTCTCACAAAGACTATTTTCATTGTTGGAAGAGTTTGATGTCGTTTGATGTTGTGTGTGCGTGTCTGCGTTTTGTGTATTATGTTAAATTTTTTCCCAAGGGATTTTTTTACTTTTCATGTTGGTTTTTTTTAGTATGATTGGTTTTTTTAAAAATGTTTTTATTGGTTTTTCTTTTCACTTTTTTTTTGATGAAATTTATTGTTGTTTTTGTCTTTTGTTTCATGAAATCTTTTCCTTCACATCCCTCTTTCATGATCCTCTTTTCCATTTTTTTTCCAATCGATGTCTTCCTTTTTTTTGGTTTTTTTTTTCAATTTTAATCTAAAGTTCAAAATTTAAGTTCTGATTTCTATTCTCTTCTTTTGTCTCTTTTTTTTTGAGTGAGAGAAAATATAAAGATGTTCATTTTGGATTGAGATTGAGGTGTTTCTATTAATTGAACTTGTTTTCCATATATAGTCATGAGATTGATTTTGTAGATTCTCATGGAAGGAAATTTGATTTTAATTAGGTTTTAAGTCAACTTTGAAGGATTTTACTTGTGAAAACTGAGGTTTTGGTTTTCTTATTCTTCTATCACCTTCATCAAGCTTACATGTCTTATTAGATTTGATTATCAAGAGCACAAATGTTTAGCAGGGTCAGTGAGTTCCATTGGTGGGTTTGAAGGCCTAAGGCTAGAAAATGCATCATCTGATACAATGAGTCTCAAAACTTGTTAGGGCCCTCTGTTGAAGAAACAGAAGTCTTTACACCACAAATGCCCTTGTGGTGGACCAAGTAAATCCAGTTGGAAACTGGCAATGTACTGAGTGTAGTAATTTGGGTACAGTTGATTTGCAACTGAAAGAGTGGTGGTACAACTGCACCCAGTTTAATGATCACAGAACCATGGAATGGTTCACCATTTCCCCTGGTTTGATTTTCTGATGTATGTAGATTTGGTCCATAGCTAATTTTAACTGTAAGGCAGATGATCAAGAAACTGGGTTATTTTATTCTTTACAAAAGGAAGATATTCCATGCACACAGATTTTGCAAGCACTCATTGTCACAGAAGATTGACCATACATAATATTTTACTTTGAATGTTTATCACTAAAATTGACATTTAAATTCAATTTTAATTCAAAACTGGTTCTAATTCTTTATCATTTGATCATTAACTTGTGAAATATTCTTCAGGTCATTTCAGTCCATTTGATAATTTCAATCTTGATTCATCAACTTCAGGATCATCATGAGCTTAACTAAGCCCCTCTTCCACCTGCAGGTTTGACTTGAGTACAGCAAGATTTTTCTAGCACATTTTCTTGAGTCCACAATATGAAGGCCCAAAACATAATGAAACCTCACCAGAAAAATGGAAAGAGATCCTTTCAGGTCTTTTGTGGACCCTTTTACCCATTTTAGTATGTCAACAGTTGTGGATTGAAAGGAAATTGGATTCCAAGATCAAGTGACCTCAAATGGGTCAAGTGCATGTGTAGGCCCTGGATTGAATAACAGCTAGATTTTTAAGAAATCAACAACTCAACTGTGTCACTTTTCTCAAGTGAAGTGGTGCAGATAGTGACACAAGCATGTGTATGAGGCTTATAAGAAGCTGTGTTTATTTTATTGCAAGGTCAGATGATGTCTAGAGACCTCACAATGGGGTTTCAAGCAAAAGTAATTCACAATCCTGCTGTGCTCAGGCCAAACCCAGGGTTTTGGTTGTAAGCCCTTCTTTGAGAGCAGACATGGTGGTCTTGGAAGAGAGCTTAGTTGAGCTTGGTATCATCATCATTGTTTCTCAAATCAAAATCATCATCTTCTTTCTCAAACTGATTCATTTGTACATCCAGCTTCACTTTGTTTGACTTTGGCAAACACTCATCATCTCATCATTTGTTCAATTCCCATTCACTTTCAAATCTCATGCTTCCATATCAACATCAAAGTCCATCTCAACATTTTCCAATGCTTAACACATTATCTTATCATAAAAATAAAACCAATATCTCCTTCTTCTGTTTCAGTAGTCAAAACTGGTTATCCAAACATTCATGTAAGCCCCTTGGCCACAGGCTCCAGAAGATGCCCACATCTTGAGGAGGGAATTAATCAAGTTCAAGATCATCCATGTGTCCTGACCCTACTTTATGTACAGTCCATCTTGTACAATTTTCAAGATTTTGTTTTCTTATATGTCACTTTTCTTATTTGCATAAACTACAATTTAGTCCTATTTCTTATTGTATTTCTCTCTCTCTCTGATTTCCTTATTCTTTTGCTTTCAGGAAATCACTACTGGGCCAGTTCCCTTGTTTTAAGGTTCATGGCCTGCTTGTGGGGGCGGAGGCCGCGGACTGCCTGTTCAAAAAGGTATTTGTGGGTGGGGGCTGGTGAATTCTGATTTAACATTCTCGAACATAATATTCTGACTTTGTTTTTGACTATGCACGCAGTGTTCTGCTGTGGTGAGTCATGATCTGTGCAAGTGAAGAAAAATTCCACTCTGGGGCTGTCCTGTAGGACGGACCTGACTCAAGTACTTGCTCTCAAATCCCAATGTCCAGTGTCCTGATAGGACTCACTTGATACCATGGCTTTGGCCACCAGCTTTACTAAGTTTACAAACACTTGACCAATTTTTCCTGCACAACTTGAGGCTTGAGCAAGGTGACCAGGAATTTGTGACAAGCTTTTCTGAATTGAATGTATCATAACTTAAGGGTATGTTTGATTCTTTATTTTTACCTGAAGCATAACTCTCCAGCCAATCTTTGATCCTACGTATTTCAGGTTCTGGTCACAAGAACAAAAAAATATTTTACTGTAAGATTTCTCACAGTGAGTGACTGATAATCAAGGTAAGCTTAGGAACCCTGTGGTAATATGATTGAGAGCTCTGGATCTGGGGAAAAGTTTTGCATTCAAGTCACTGTACATAGATGACAAAAAAAGTATGATTAAATTAATTGGTTTTATTTAGAAAAAGGTTGAAAGATTCTCCCAGGATTTCTAGAGAAGCAGTGCACACTCTATGTGCTGGGCTCAATTACAAAATATGTGTGAGATATCCTTTAGGCTTGTCACCACACAGATGATGTTTTTTCCAAAGTGAAACATGATTGACCTGGATGACAAAAATGATTTTAAAGGCAGCAATTCTGAATATATTCTGCATGTGCATTAAAACTGTATTTCTCTGCAATGATACTACATTTCTGCATCAACACAGCATTTTTGATCTTTTTTGACACTAATTTAAATCATTTTGAATAGCAGAAAAATACTACATCTGTGCAGTGTGTTGTGGAGTGATTTGATGTTTTTTTCATGATTTCTGGAGGTCTTACACCTAATATGCATTCCTCATTGTTGAAGTCAGATCAGTTACAGCTCATTTACAGTATCCATGACTGTTCCAACAAAATCAATGTATCTCTACACAAACTTATCACTGCTTGCATGGCTCTTGTGCATTGTCTGCAGCTTTTAGGATTTTGTAGACAGAATACATGCAATTCTCAACCAGTGCCATAATTTAAATAGCCACCATTGTGGTCACCGGGACACCCAGATGTTTTGTTGTTTGGGTGTTCATCACATTTTAGATATATAAACTCCAAAAACTATTTGCTACGTTGAATCAAGCTTGGGATTACATACACACACTCCAATAGCAGTCTTTAACATTAAAAAATGATAGTGAGAAGAGAATATGGATGAAAGGAGGAAAGACAAGTCCATTCTTGGACTACTTCTGAAGTTGCCTTTATGCTACTTTTGAAAGAAGAACGTAGTGTTTTTAGTACAAGTTTTTGAGATAATTTTTTTAGTCTCTACAATCTTCATCTTTGTTTCGTTTGAGGTCAAGATATTTTCGAAAGAAGAGAAATATGTTTGTATATAAATTGAGCTAGGCGTGGTCTGTGTTGTTCACATGTCTACCTGTTCAGTATCATCATTACTATCCAGGTATGAGAAGAGTTGAAGTTATCAAACACGTTATGGCTCTTGAGACTAACCCCTAGGGTGCTGGCGATTTTTCTGATGTCTTATTTAGATAGTTTGTGCCCTTTGGATGGTATTATGGTCCACGGCCAACATGGTCGCTGAGTAGTAAGGACCATCGTCCGGAGGTGTTTCTAGTGGTCTCCGCCGTTTAGGTAATGGCGAAAGTAGACCAACGTGTTCGAATTCATTAGATTTAGGGCCTATGGTTTGTGAAAAAGAGTGATTAGCCTTGTGATGATAAATCAAGATAAAAGACTATTCTTTGGCGACTTACGAAGCCATTTACTGGATTTACTTGCAAACTTCTTAAATCCTGAAAATACGCCAGTGAAAGTACATGCTTCTTTGAGGACTGGAAAGCAGTACTTCATTGATTTCTGCTCGGATGGAAATCGACGTTGAAAGAAAGCGTGATAAAATGCTGGTTTCCTATGAACTGGAATCTTTACACTCAAATCCGCTTTCCCATTAATCAAATTTATTGTATCTGCTTCGAAGACTGTTCCACTATCATCATGAATCTTGGGAATTGCCTTTTCGTGTCCTTTGGTTATAAATGATTCAACGTTTGCAGTGGTTTCGGGATTAGCTGTCGTGGATAGACTTTCACCATTCAGGTTTTTGCCAGCATGCTGAATTTGTTGGGACTGGGTTTTTTCCAAGGTATCTACAGTGGGAAGAGGTTTAGGTGGCCTTATCAGCTTTTTGGCCTCGGCAACCTCCTTCGCTGTGCTCTCTGCGTCGAAAAAACCACGTTTTGATAATAGATGAAGACCTTCATGATGGTTTGCAAACGCGGATTGAGGTGATGAGAGGACTATCTGTGTTTGAATAATAAAATTAACAGAGAATAGCAAGAATACAGAGATAGATAGCATCTTGTTTGTGATGATATAGATTTTGATGGTAGACCCTTCTTTGGCCTTTAAACAAAGATTTGTTGGAGAGTTAAAGGAGTGTAGTGCCTGCTATTTGAGTTATGAATTGATTCCGCAGGATTGATCAGGCGCCAAGCAAAATGTCGAAAAAAATGTAAAGAAAGTGATCTCAGGTGCACTAAACAAAGGGAAACGCTGAAGCCATGGACCAAGTTGGAAAGCGAATTGAGCAAAACTGATAGAAGCGGATGATGTACGTTTTTTTGGGAAGATCATTTTTGCCGTCTCGGCTTGGATTCAGAATTCCAATCGAAATGAAATTGATTACGACAACATGAGGAAGAGAAATGAAGAATGTTCCACAAGTTCTTCTAACACATCCACTGTTGCCAAGAGAAAATTACCCAATGGCGGTATATCAGGGTACAACATCACGATCAGTACCTTGTAAGATGTGATGAATTTTCATACCTTGCTTTAAATAACGAGGTGCAAAACCAAACCCACTGCATACATTTGATCGATTCACCTCGCCGAGCCGGAGCGACACATGTTTTAGAGGTCTGATTCTCTGAGTCGGAATTCCCTCGCGACCTTTTCTCTTGAGATCTGCTTCTCTTTGACTTGAGAGCTCAAACCTTACAGCAATTACTCCGGCAATGTGACGTGTCGCACTGATGACTCACCCGCTCGGCGTATACTCCCGTGAGGTCGCTCTCATTTTCTCAATTCGCTGTACTCTGTGAGCCGAATGGGCAGTCGGTTCTGCGATCTCTCAAACACCCGCCCGATTGGGTGTTCGCAAAGATCGTCTTCGTCTGTTGAGGATTTCAATGAGTTTCAAGCTCATGTTATAGACGTAAAATCAACCAAGCTACTAAAAAGTGCTCTTGACTTTGATAAGATGAAGACGACTCATGACACATTGAGGTGGTAATTAGACTTGGCGCTAGAGCTCGGATACCAGGAAGCGTGATGCCTTCTTGGTTTCCACACGCTGATTTGGTGTCGTGTCGTGATGTATAACTGAATAACGCTAGATCAAATAGCCAGTTGCTTACAGGAACGGACAGATTCTTGGAAACGTTACTACGCAGCAACCCAAGATGAGTCTAACGCAAGCCAAAATTTCTCAAAATTTGTTGACTTTAGGGCGCGTTCACTTAGGGCGCGTTCACTTAAGCAATTTCTTGTGAGAAATCACATTCTGCAAAATTTAAAGTGTCTATTTGGTGGTATAGTGGGTAGTGTCTAAAAGCGTGTAATGTCGGGCCGGTTAGTACGGCCAAAAAGCTGATTTATCAAAAACTCCATTGGATGAAAAGAACTTTTTCTACTGTAAAAATTGTTAAAAACAAGATGTTCAATACAATTTTGGATTCCTATCGATGTGAGGATTCCAAATCTGCCCTCGGCTTCAAAATTGGATCAATTTTGTGGGCTTCATGAACTTTTTTCTCAAAATACCCGATTTCACGCGTTTAGGCACTACCCACCATACATGTTTCATTTTTGCATTAAAAATTTTACAGAATGTGATTTCTGGTCAGAAATTCCTTAAGTGAACGCACCCTAAGCCCTACCTCACAACATAGTTACCAACATATTCACAACAACTATAACACTGCGATATCCACGGATATTAATCAAACCATTTTAATGCTCCATTCTCTTGAATCCTGTTTTAGTAATCTAGGATTGTTGTAGATTGTGCAGATGTCCAGCACAAAACATCTAAGGGTTCGGAGATAAGAAAATATATGATAATGGACTCGAGGGTAGTATGATGAAATCACTATGTACTAAATACTCTGAGGTAAATCAGCAGCATGTAAGGATATGACCCTCAGGTTCAGCATTTGTACTTTGAATAATTGGATCCATTTGAATTTTTTGCCTAATAGAAGGGATGACCAGCTTTCCTGTGGTCATTTTTTGAAACAATTTAGAAAAAGGAAGTTGATTAGGTTGTTTGAATCATAGTACTGCATATTTTGTACATTTCTCACATTATACTGCAATGGTGATAATGATAGCATGATCAGCCATATTTCATGGTTATGAAAGGTGGATTCGTGTGATTAAAACACTCTTTATGATGAAACTGTTGTACGATTTAAGCTTTAAGCTGACGTAAAATCTTGAGGTAAGATCAAATTGGAGAGATTGGTAAGATGATTGAAATCAGGAATTTTGTCCTCTGCTGATGACGTGCAGCTGTTATGAATAACCAAGATAAAAGGTCAATGACAATATGGTCATCCAACAATCCTTCCTCGCACTGTTCGAAGGCGTAACGAATTCTTCAAAGATATTACTGAGTCTGAGGATTAATTATATGGGTGCACTAAGCAGAGATAGGATTCGAATCTCCAAATATTAATTGTTATTTCATACTACTAAAGTCTACATAGGTTCTTCGCGCACTATTTATGGCACTTTGAAAGTTCTTGTCAGATAGGATACAAAACTGAAACCTATGAACGTTTTTGCAAGTTTTTGTCAAATAGGCATTGGAATCGGTGGACTACGATGATGTCTTGGAATTGATATGCGACCAAGTCCAATTCAAGAATGTGAAGATTTTGATTAAAATTGAGTATACCACAGAAGAGATAAGATGATAATTGTGAAGCAGTTCATTATCGGAGTGACCGGAGTATAACCTGAGCTAGAGACGGTATGTGGATTGGCATTTGAAGCTTCTTTAGGAGTTTCACGTCCAATATTCGGAACTCCACCACGTTTTCCACATACTAATTGACACTTCTTGGCCAAGCTATTATCTTGATTCAAAACGTTTGAAGGTGGGCAACTCGAGTTTGGAATATGATCAAGCTGACAGAACGTTAAAGCGGGAGGTGCCGGAGAGCTTGGAAATGAACCCGTGAAAGTGTTGCCTTTCATGGATAGTGTTTGCAGAGATGTCGCATTGATCGGGTCAAGGAATGGTCCCACAAGCGAATTTGATTGGAAATCTCTGTCGGTTTGCAATGAAACAATGGTCAGAATTCTGGTGCCGCCTTCTTTGCCATGAGGAGAAGTGTGAATTGAATCATCTTTTGGCCACTTACAGTCGGATGAGTCCAGGTGGTGGTTGCGCAAGGTTTGGGGGTAGACCACTAAACTGATTGCGAGCAACGCTCATGATTTGCAGCTTCGGCAATGTAGAAAGGTCCGGTAATTCGCCTGTGAATAAATTATCATCCAAGACTAGCTTTTCGATATTCGCATTTGAAGTCAAATTGATTGAACCCGAGAACTTGTTACGGGACAAATCGAGTTGAGTCAGGCCAGTAGCCATAGGGAAAGAAACATTTCCTGAAAAGCTGTTATTCGACAGATGGACGGAAACCAAATTCGGTGATTGCTGAAGTGATATCGGCAGTTCGTCACTGAGGCCTGTAGAATTCAGTAGACTGATCACCGGAGAGGATCTTGTTCAGATTCCCGCAATCTGGAAGATTCTACTACAAAATCGCTCACAGCGTCGTCAGGTTTAGAAGTTTTTGAAATTTATCAGGGAGTGGTCCGACCAAAGAATTCGACGATAAGTTTCTAGATGTGATTTTTGAAATCAGCTACGAGCGACGAATCATGATAATGAATGATCAAAAAACGATGCCAACTTACAGCCTGATCAATGAACCAAGTCCAAAGATAGCGGCTGGTATGCCTCCCACCAATCCGTTGGAAGCCAAGTCAATCGAGACAATCCTGTCTTGCGGATCACAGTTCAATCCAAAGTTTCCACAACAATCTCCTGAACCTTGCTTAGTTTGTGAGCTGGCATTTGTCCAACCGTTTTGGTTATCCCAATTCGTGCCACCGAGTTCTTCATAGAGTTTAGTGACGATCGTGCACTGATCGGCTGAATCTTCCTCGTCATCCGTGTCATTGCTTGCATCTTGAGAATGCGCGGGATGCGCTGTGGGATGAGGCGCAACTTTGCTAGAACGAGTTTTAGAACCCTCGCTGAAGCCACTTGACGTCGGATGCTGTTTTTGGGAGCTTGTAGTTTTGCTCGAGAGAAGATCATCAGAATGCTTCGAGGTGTAGGCGGATGAGTCAGCTGATGTGCTTTCTGAAGCAGCAGGTGTGGGCTGTGAGTTGTCGTAAGTGGACGTTGGTGTAGCGCCAGAACTCGCAGCCAGGGAATCGTGATGATCATTTCCGGACCCTGAGTTTGAATTTGAGTCACCCGATGACTTATCCTCATCCTGACTGGAATCACTTGAGCTGTCTGATAGAGAAGACATATTCAGTTCATTCTGGACAATGAGAGGATGTGTGCATGACCCTACTTACCATCCTTGGCATTTCTACTTTTACCAAACTTATCCGAAGTGTCCTCTTGATTCCCGGAATTTTTCGACTTGGAACCTACATGTTCATCTTGAGATTGAGAGTCGCCGTCATCGTCATTTTGCTCAGATTTAGAAGTTTCACTCGAGCCATCGGAGCGCGAGGAAGAGCTCCCACTGGCATCATCTGCTTTGGAACTGGCGCTTTCATCTTTTTCCGAAGATTCATCATTATCTTCATTTTTATCATTTCCGGAACTTGAATCTTTTTGAGGCTTTTCATCAGACTCTCCTGTATCAGTATTGTCATCATCATTGTCATTTTCATCATTACCATATCGCTGGTCTTGGTGCCCGTAGGAGTGTCGCTTCACAAATGTGACATGTCTGGCAATTAAATGACTAGGATGCTTGAGAATATCATTGGAATTTGGTCTTTTCTGATGGTGATGCGGGTCGGTCATTGTGGATATGATGTCAGTCGGCCGTGGACAGACTCCAGACATTTTTCGGATCATTGAACATTTCAGTGCCCGGTTTCGAACCATTTGACTTGGAGGGTGAGATGAAAGAAGCTCGCCCCGTTTCTTGAGAGGAATCCACCGATGATCATTCTCATCGCGAAGTGACGTATGATGAGCCGAAGGCAAGATTGTATTCCAATGATTCGGATTTCCGTGAAATGTTCCATCCGCATGCCAGCGAGCATGATGACCATCATGGTATGCTTGAACTTCATGCCTGAATCCGAGGCAGATCGCCACCAAGAATTGGATAAGCTCAAACCTCCTTGTCCACATCGAGTGATCGACACGGAGGGCCGCCTGATGATCGAGAAGCCAAAGACAAGAGACAGGGTCCTTTCAGAGAGGTTAAAACACGCGCCGGAGAAGAAATGATTTCAGCAAATATAGAGAGAGCAAGAGATGTGATGATTAATGAAATTGGAAAGTAAAAGGTCAAGTTGTGCGTGTTGGATTTTGATCTTTGGCTATCAATGCTCGTTGACCCAAGGCTCCATGTCATCTTAATTGTGATTCAGCGGCATTTTAACATGGGGCATAGTCTTGTTCCCTGGAAAGCAAAATAATGAACGCGTCATGCGTTGTCGATATCTCTGCCCTCGTCACAGCGCTGATAGTGCAGAGAGCCGACGTAAAAGAAGAGAGACTTTGATGTCAAGCCGACGTTATGAGATCCTCTCGACAGCTCATCGCAATGCATCATTGACTGACTCTCCGTCTCGTACTTGTGGAACCATCGACGTGACTTTTGCTGACTGGCATCTTTGGTCGATGAAGCCGCTATGGACTCTTTCGGCTTGAGGGCCTACCAGATAATTAATGGCCCAGAAACAATTGTCCAGCACGATACCATCGGGCCTGGACGCGCGCGGCTCAGATGAAAGATTGACTGAGTTAGACTCCTGAGGATGGTTTGTGTCTAGAAGAAGACAATGTAAAATTACCTGCATTGACAGTGATGCTACCTGCATTGACCGTGATGCAAAAAAACTTGAGTCAAATGACAAGATGATAGAATTGAGTGACTGCTGTGACGTTCAAACCTGTTCAACCCCTTCAGTGAGAAACCCTTTCTCATCAGTCAATTAACATCAATTATCCTATAAAGGTATTGGTCATCCGAAGGTAATCCCACTCACCCTCCATAACCAAAACTGCCCTCAAGAAATTATTTCCTTTCAACGCACATATCAATCCGCATTCAAGTGTCGTTCGTTAGCAACATTCCAGTATTTGTAGCGCACCATAATCAGGTATTGAGCACGCATCAAAGCACCATCAGTTCTCAATCAGATTTTCGAAAATTTGTCCCTGATCTCTTGCAAGTCAGTCAGTCTCCTTTCCATTTCCCGCTTATATCCTCTTTTCTCTTTGATATTCCTGGCCGATTGACATAGAAAATGCCTGAGCGGGTCACTCCATCATCTGTGACGTGATCTGTGTAGCGCTGACGCTACAGCCTCGCATGTACCATGCTCGTGTCTTCGCCCAAATCTGATGATGAAAAGGAGTGACGAACTAAGGATCGGTTTGGCGGTTGACTGCATGATATTTTCAAAAGCTGGTCTATACCTCATCATGTCGATGTCACAAGAGTGTCCAAAGGTGTATGCATCCGCAGTTGGTGCGTTTAATGAGCTTTCCCAGATTTAAATCAGGGCTGTGTACATAAGACAGTTCAATTTTCAATTATTCCAAATTCACAAAAGTCCAAAAGCCATTTTTCTCACCACCGGACTTCTCCTATATATATCCCTCTCATCGTTTTCCAATCCTTCGCGTCCTTCCACGTCTTCATTTAATTCTCATCTCTCTTTTTTGGATTTGCATCTTATATATTCACTCTATATATACTCATCTCCTACCCTCCTTCTTGAACACTAGATCAATAGCTTCTTCAAAGTTTACTCTAGCTCATCATGCGTACCTCTGCATTTCTCACTGGATTGGTTAGCTTGGCTGCCTCCTCGCTTGGTCAGCATACCGATCAAAGTTTTTCATCTTCACTTTTCTCTTTGACTAATTTTTCATTTTCGTCTGTTACTCTATATAGCCTTCACTGTCAATGGTCCATCTGCTGCCTCTTACTGGGTGCAGTTTTCCACCAACACCATCTCCTGGTCTCAGGGATCAGGCGACCCACCAGTCGTCAGGTAAATTCGGACAGGTTACACTAGTATACTGTATTGCACGATCGACTTATCGATTCACTTTTATGTAGTCTTCAGATCGTTAACCCCAACCACAACTTGCTCAACGGTGCATTCTCCATCGCGGAGTACGTGAAAGCAAGTTTGGAATCATACACCGTTACAAATGTAACTCTCCTTGTTGGTGATGGGTAAGTCCTTTCATCATACCCCCTGCATAATCTCTCCTTGCCCACGTCGTCGTCATACTTATGTTTGGTCGACCCTTTTTGCATTTACAGTTACCAAGTAAGAGACTCTTGTGTATCCAGCCCGAGCGAACATAACATCTGACTGTCTTCCCTTCATCTAGGTCCAAATGGTCAATTCCACCAACGCTACGCAGGTATACGCCTCTTCCGGTACCTTCTCTGTCAAGGATGCCAACAGTAAGTTGTTTCCCACGTGCAATCGCTTCCACACACTGATGGCTTCTTGCTTCTCCCACAGCCACCGCCGCTCCTGTGGCCAGTACCTCTGGCAGTGGATCAGCAAACGGATCAGGAAATGGATCAGGAAGCACCACTGGTACCAACGGCAACAGCGGCTCAACCACATCCAACACTACCTCCACCAGCTCAGGTGCTCGTACTGCAGGCTCCGGCGCTGGTAACTCAACCGCTGGATCTAACGCCAAATCTTCGGCCACCATCTTGAGCCCTGCCATGGGTCTCTTCACCGTCTCTTTGGCTGCCATCGGTTTTGCTTCGCTTTAAATAGTGAACATTGACCTGTTGATTGGGATATGCTGTTGAACACTCAGAGTTAAACTACCTTGTCAAGCGTCACTCATTTTGTTGACTAGTTAGTTCTATCCCAACCTCTACTTGTGATTCTGATCATCGCCTAGTAACCTGCTCCCAATGTCAGATGGTCAGACATGACTTCTAGTTTTGCTCGTCCTCATAATGTCCCTCTCCCTGTTCCTCTTCCTTTTTATGACGAATTTGTTTTGCCAATGACGCACGACTGTGATGACGTCTTTTGTTGCTTTTCTATCCGACCTGCTTTCTTAATATCTGCATTTGGAATTTTTACCACGTTTGACTTGAATCTCTTGAGCCTTTTCTATGAGTCGTCATTTACCTAACATGCCGGTCGGTCATGCTGGGTACATCAGGCTTGAAATCACGAGTTTAGCGCGCAAAGATCCACTCTGCCGTGGTTTTGACTTTGCTCTAGAATCTATGGGAAGGCTGCCACCAAGTGCTTCCTGGTACCCTGGTTTCTGCTACTGACAAGTGCCAAGGTGTTAAAAGCAACAGAATGATCTTGGTTTTTCCCTTCAGCATGTGCTCAAGCCTGAGAAAGTGGGCTTGGCAATGGATCTGGTACATGTTGATCATGGGTGCAGTCTGAAGGAGTGATGCCCATCTGAAAGTTGAGGGGGCATTGATGTGCTGTGCACACACTCAATGTGGCACCTATGGAGTTTGCCCTCATGATCTTGTACCATGTGGTCACTGGTGATCCTGAACCAGGGGACATGGGCTGTACCAGGGGAGGATGATGCTGAACAAGTCACACTGGTGACAATTCTGAGATCCTAAACTGAAACAACTGGGAGGGTAAAGTGCATACAGTTGGTAAAGTTGAAGCTCAACCACAGTCCGTGGGCAAAAACAAAATTTGAACTGCCTGGGGGACTTACAGCTTTGAAAACCCCAAAGCCGGGTCAAAAACATCATTTATGGAGCCAGAGAATGTGTCACAATTGGAAAATGACCCTTACAGCTCTCTGTGATTAGCCAATTTTTATTTTTATTTCTCAACCACCCACATTTGGGACACATACAGTATACAGGATAAAACTGAGGTTTTGTCATATATACTTAACTACCTAACATACATAGCTAGGTAGTTAGAGGACATAACTAAGTACATAGCATACGTAAGTGCACATAACATGCTTTAGCAGGGACAACCTAAAAACCAACTTGGATCGTTTTCAGTCTTCATGAATGCCAGCATCACGTGCGATACAACGGTGAGAATGATAAATCTTCTCTCTGATGGCCTTCTCAGCTTGAGCTCCAGTGAGACCATCACTAATAATGTAAATCATCTTCATGAGAACTCCAGAAACAAGAGAACAGGCATGATTGAGCTTACAGATATGCCATGTGATGACGCTGGACCTTGCGAAAGTATCGGCGAATCGTTAATAAGGGGCAGCTGATACGAATCTCTTCAAAAAGTGCTCGGCAATCTTTGAACGATTTGCATTCCAAACTTTGCTTGCGATAATCTGATGAGTCACAAAAGTTAGATGAGATGATAAGCGACACGATTGAAATAAGATCATAAGCTGAGGAGATTCAAATATGATGATAAGCAACTGACAAGAAAAGCAAACTCACGATGCTTGATAAATGACCAATAGAGCTCAATTGGGTTGAGCTCGCAGTGAAACTTAGGAAGGAACAGGCAGATGTGACCTGCCTCCTCAAGAACCATTTGAAGCAATGGCTTTTCATTTGCGAAGTCCGACTGACAAGCAAGGATTTTTGAGGCACAGCAAGATGAACTGAAAGGCTGTGAGGTGTCAGGTTGTTGAGTGTCGAGTAATTCTTGATCGCGATTCTCTTTAGCTTCACTCCGCAAACAAGCCTCGCGCCGGGCTGCATCACGACGAACACCGGACTCTCTACATGTTGCACACTGCATCACCAGTCCCGAGTTACTTTTGTGTTTAGATTTTTCGTTGTAAAAGTCCCACAAGCCACGTTCTGGAGGAAAATCTTCATGCCTTTTTGCTTACCAGCTTGATTAGGATCAGGATGAGTCATCGGAAATACCATACTCTGCGGTTTGCCTCGTAATTCAGGTGGGATCCGTGGATCGTCTGTTGGGATTATCGTGTCTTGAAGAAAG